GTCGGAACCGGAGAAGAAGTCTCTTATATCCGTGTTTCTCTTATATCCGGGTTTGGTCTATTTTATATACATTAACACAGGCTAATTTGGGACCAGAGAAAATCTCTCTTATATCCGGGTTTCTCTTATATCCTGGTCTCTTATATCCGGGTTACACTGTAGATAGATAGATAGATAGATAGATAGATAGATAGATAGATAGTGACGTATTTAATTTTCCATTAACAAAAGAAGTTATATTTAGTCATTTGGTCATATTCGGGCCGATAATTTTTCAGCACTCCTCTTAGATGCCAGCCAGTTACGAACATCGTGGAAAGCCATACTTCAAATCCACATTTTATGGCTAAGATTGACAACTAAAACTTTTTTAAATAATTTGCAACGATCTGGTATATCGATTTTAATCATTTTCCCACCGCCGTTACGTAGCTTACCTGATCTTTTTCCTATAAATATTTTCATGGCAATTTTTCTGATGAGCTTTCCTCTTTGGAACCCCGACTTCATGATTTTAAGCGCAGTACTAGATTGGCAGCTAGGTCTCATCATTTGAAATAGATAATTGTAACCGTAAATTATATTCTGATAGTTTCTTCTCTCGCGCTTCTCTATCTACGTGATTTCCTGTTAACTAGAATCTACAAAGTTTTCTCCTCAGTAACGTTTTCACAATTCCCTTCGCTCTCATAACCTCTTGCGTCTTAGTGGCTTTATCGCCACTAAAATGAAATGATAAAAACAAACAATCGATATGTACCTCACTAGAATAAATCTGATTTTATTACATCGCGTATTATTAAGCACGTTAATTTTTTTTCTATTTTCTACGAGTCTAATGAAGCGATTCATGGTAATATTTTCACTTACTTAATATACAATATATTTTGCATTATATGTATAGACTATAGTAGACTACTTACTATTCTTGCGCTATGGTAATAGTTGCGTGAATTTTACCTTATTTTCCAAGTTTGACATTATTAGAGAACTGACTGAGTTTTGTAATTAAATATAATTACAAAACCTGCACAAAGTTTACAATGAAAGAAGTTTTAAGCAAGAAATTGAGAAATAATTCCTTTGTTATAAAGACGAACTTATAAAGAGCATTAATATGAAATGTATGCTTTATAAAGAGCATTAATATGAAATGTACGCTTTATAAAGAGCATTAATATGAAATGTATGCTTTATAAAGAGCATTAATATGAAATGTACGCTTTATAAAGAGCATTAATATGAAATGTATGCTTTATGTTCTGAAACTAGATTTAAAAGACGTTTATTCATCGATTTTATCGGGAGTGTTCTATGTTTTCATAGAGAGATTGTATAGAATTCAGAACAAAATTCAAAAGGGGAAACAGAGATGGTAAAGGGTAAAAAGATTAGAGCAAAAAAAGACTGGAAATTGTGGAGAGACATGACCGTCCACACCCCCGAGAAGACTTTACACATGAAAAAAGAAATGATCAGTCTTGCATTTTACGCCACTTGATTCAGGTGCGATATCTTGTGCTTTTCGACAATTTATTTTTCTTTTATGTTCTTTCAGGATGTGAGCGATCATGGCTCTCCACAATTTCCCGTCCATTGCAGCTCTTAGTAAAAATTGGCATTTTGCTAGATCTCCTAATCCCTGTTCTGCCAATCATTTACAATTGCTCAAAACCATATCGAGGCTAATTTGAGACTTCGAAAATTCAGGATAGAAATGTCTGCTGCTTGCCCACATCTGCGCAGAACAAACTGGTTTTCATGTCAATCGCGCCGATAGATGTTGCAATTTATTCAACAAAGAAACTTGCAGCATGGAGATATATATTGAACAATAAAAATATTAAAAAATTAAAAAAAATAAAAATCTTCAGACACACTAGTATGTATATTAATATTCTTTCGTTTTTATTATTATTTCATTTACATTCCTCGACTAGTTTCGACCAACATGGCCATCATCAGGAGAAAAAAATTCTGCTTACTGGTAGCAGTGAACTACAGAAATGAATGTCTTGATGGAGAAAATGGACTTTTGTCTATAGTTTTCATTTGTTTTTTTTTTGTTTTTTTTTTAATTTTAACATGATTTTGGTCAGTCCTTGTGTTGGTCAAACAGGCTCTTTTAAGATAAGAGCTGGATGGATTCACGCTGCTCTGAGTTCCCTTGGTCATTTTGACAGTTTTATTGGTTCCTGGAAAGGGGATGTGTCTGTTAAGTGTGTGTGTGTGTGTGTGTGAGTTATTTGGTTCTTAGGGAGGGAGTGATTATGATGTATGTATGTACGTATGTATGTATGTATGTATGTATCTATCCGGTGTCTCTTTCTGATTCTGAATATGTGTTCTTTTTGTTACTATTTTCTCTAAGACTTCCTTGTTGCTTGTTCCGTACATAGATTTCTCAGAATCCTTCTGTAGTACCACATTTCTGTTGCCTCTAGTTTCCACTTAATCTATGAGGAGATTGTTCAGCATTCACTGCCATAAAAATGATTGATATCACAATGCAACTCGTTAGATCCGACGTGCCTTAAGCGACTTTGTGTACGTTTGGATACGAAACTGAGCTGATATGATAATTTCGAGGAATGACGAGAAGGATTTCGCTTAAATGCACTGTTCAGCCCTTGCTTGGTCGTCAAAGCGACTTCGTGGCTGAGTCGGTTAAAGTACGTGGGATATAACAACAGTTTCCTTCTGCCCAGAGGGATGCATGTTCGAATGCTGCCGGAGAACGCATATTTTTTTCTATAATATGATTACTTGAATAGACGAAAATAAATCTACTGTTTAATAAATAAACGGAGCGCCTACTCACCTACGAGTATCGACTAAGTGATAAAAATCTGTCCGATCCATTACTTCTTTGAAATATATATATATATATATATATATATATATCATATTATTAGGTAATACACAGATCCAAATAGGATATAATCCAGAGAGCCCAATGTAAAAACAGAGCAAACATTATATAGGGTGACCCCCAAAAATGGGAATTTTTGAAGTGTGTATTGCCAGACATGAGCAAGTGGCAACACTGCGAGACAGTGACCTTGAGCAAGTAAACATTTCGCCATTTAGAATTCAACATGAAATTCACAGTATCCCAGTTGAGATGTTGCAGCAGTCAATGAGGAATCTCAACAGCAGATTTCAAGAATGCATTCGTACAGGAGGACGCCATCTACAGGACGTAATTTTTAATAAATGAAAATTCCATCATTGTTTCTTAAATGGCATGTTTGATGGTTTCAATTACTATGAATAAAATATTTTTCTTCCATCAATCTTGGTTTTAATTGATTGTTAAAAAGTTCCCGTTTGTTTTGGACACCCTGCATATATATATATATATATATATATATACCGCGCCAATAACCGTTTCATTATGAATGTGAGGACAGTGAAATCGTGGAGCCGAGTTTAAATTCTTGTTGATTCTGTTTCGTTCACTTCGCAATAATGCCATGAATGGATACGTCTTTTTTCATCGGAGAAGGAAAAATCTGATATTAACCCTAAAGAGGGATGTTTTGGACTCTTGGACTTACACTGTGCACCGTTTATCTCTTATTAGTTAATCCGTAAAGAACACAAGCTTTTACCTCTATATTCCAATCCTCCGTGCGGACAGACTAGCAATCCTGTTCTAAACAGGCCGTCATCTGTCGAAATCGATGGTAGATTTCACTGTAGTGATTTAGTAAGCGTAGCTTAGAGGTGACACAAGGTAGCAAGTATGTCGCCTTTATGGAGCCCCCATTGAGGATCGAACTTTCTGCTCTACAGAGACAAGCTTGCTAGCCATGATTTCACGTTGAAGGTACCCAAGAGAGTTCATTATGAAGAATTATGGAAAATAAAGTATATAATATTTTTTAAAAAATCCACATTACAACCAAAAAACCATTTCCGGTTTCTCTCTTTTTAATGTACACACTTTTCTCTCGTTGGAACTACTATAACCTCTTCCCTATATATATATATATATATATATATATATATATATATATATATATATATAGTTAAACATAGAGAGCCAGAAAAACCTACCAAGGTTTCACCTAAGCGGATCCGCAGGGATGGATATATATATATCTTTAAATGATAATGTTATTAAGCTTATCAGACAATGTGAAAGGAATTTAAATAGAGGAAACTTGTCTATATTATTTAATGAAACATGCATCAATACATACATATATATATTGTTATCCACACACAGACTGTTTCGCTGTATCACAGCTCATCAGTTTGGCCATACGTCCGGTTACCTCTAGCTAGGATCGAAACCCGACTGAATTAGCGTCAGTCGGTGATTCTACTACTAATCTCTTGGCACACGGCAGTGATGAAGGTGATTTTTTTAAGCGTATTTATTTTTAGATAAACACACAGTGACTGAGAGAACTCAATTCGGTTTAACGAAGAGTCTTGCATATATATATATATATATATATATATATATATATATATATATATATATATATATATATATATATACCTATCTTAAACAAACCTGCTTTTTGCCTATTTTAATTCTTTTATGTACGTAAACTGAATGCCTTTCTTAAAGAAATCGCATGTTAATAAACTGTATAAATGTTTCATTCTGTAACAGCCACACTTGTTCTATCTCATACAAACCCTTTGGTTGACGGGCTAAAGAGAAGGCGAGGTGGGTGATTCCGTGTCAGGTAAGAGAGAGAAACAGAGAAGGATGAGTGTTAGTGTCGTCCATTCGACCATCTCATGAATTTACCCATCTTCTCTCTAAAGATAAAAGTTATCATAATCTTGACGAGATGGGCAAACGCGGCTCGTTCTCTGTTGATAATAAATAAGATTAAAATCATTGGGATCAAAACTTGTTAGAATAGTGAGGGGTCTTCGAGGTACGCGAGGTTGGAGAAGGTGGCATAATTCCAGAGTGGGGGGGGGTTACTGCACGCTATTACGCTCACTTTCTTTTCTCTCTCTCATCTTTCTAGTTTTCTCTTTCTGTCTTTCTCACAATTTTGTTTTGTACTCAAACTTTTTCTCATTTTCTTTTTTACCTTCTCTCTCTCACTCATTCCCCCTTTAACATTCATACACTTTCTCACACTTATTTTCATCTTTTCATTCTCACTTTCTATTTTTTTCCTCCTCTCTCTCTGTCGCTTAATTGGCCTCTTTCTGTCTTTCACCTTCTCTCTTTCATTTTCTGTCTCTCGCCTTTTCTAACTCTCATTTTCTGTGTTTCGTCTTCTCTCTCTTTCTCTCATTTTCTGTCTTTCGTCTTCTCTTTCTCATTTTCTGCCTTTCGTCTTCTGTCTCTCACACTCTTTCATTTTCTCTTTCGCCTCCTCTCTCTACCATTTTCTGCCTTTCGCCTTCTCAGTCTCATTTTCTGCCCTTCACCTTCTCTCTCTCTCATTTTCTGTCTTTCACCCTCAATCTCCTTCACTTTATTTTTTTCATACTTTTTTCTTACAGTCTTCTCTATCCCGCATTCTATTTCGTTCACTTTCCTTCTCACTTTTCTCCCACCCTCTATTTGTTTCATCCTTTTTTATTTCACTTTCTTTCTCATCTTTCTCATTCTCTCTCTCTATATATTATTTCTTTTTTTTTACCTCCTTATCTCTCTCAATTTCCTTCTCTTTCTCTCTCTCTCTCTCTCTCTCTTTTTTCCAACATCTTAGCGATGGTGTAAAGGAGATGGGAAATAATTCAGAAGAAGCGGGTGGGAAGGGAATTGATGCCAGGACTTAGGCACGCGCTCTGCCTAGTGGATGACACGGGATGTTCTTGGCGGGCGGGGGGGAACTGACGAATGCGTGGATATTTAGGTGGAGTGGGTTGAGATTCGTAATCAGGCATTTCCGAGTGAAATATGACACCTTACCAACGGGCATAAACAGAGAACTCATTAAGAAACACCCCCTATTCGATCCCTCGCTCAACAGCTCCCACTTCGATAGTCGTTGCCCTTATTAGACAAGTTGTACACCTGTAGTCGAACTAGTAGAGTCGACAATAATAATAATAATAATAATAATAATAATAATGGTCAAAACTAAGTAAATAATAATTATTATTATAATAAATGCCCTGTTGTTTCTCTCGGCACAGCTTTCATGGCATCTAATCTTAATTGATTAAAGGTGTTAACATGTACACGTTTTGTTTTGGTGAATGAAGGTGAGCTACAGTAAATACCCCGTTCAGTACCACATATTTTCTTGTCACTTAGTTGACTATAACCCGTTAGGCATACCATCTCTCGGCTGAAGCACTGTTAATCTCTGTTCATGGGTGGAACTAGTGGGGGGGGGCATCATAACCGTGTGAGGAGAGAGTTGTCTTTTTTCTTTTCTTTTTTGAGGCAGCCAAGGCGACTTTGGAGTCACATCTAGATACCTGGAAACACTTTCAGTTGCAAACCGTCTGAACGGACTGTCATCTGACCTGTAGGTATTTATAACTGAGCCCCGCCTATATCACGCATATTTGGCTGTGATGCATGTGCCCGGTATATCCTTATCAGACTGGGTTTTATGGTGGATATATTGCGCTTTGTATATCTGGACCCTAGCGTTAACTTGGTGGCGTGCTACTCTCTAACTCAATAATAATAATAATAATACCAGAACAGACATGGGCGGGAATCACAGAAGAAGATGTTAAATGTGCACTGAAAAAAGCATACAACTGAAATCTCCAGGAATAGATAAAATTCTAACTTCTGGCTATATTATTTAAATACAGCACACAAAAAAACTCGCCAAAGAACTTCAAGAAATGGTTACCGATCCAACTAAAATTCCTGCATGGATGACCAAAGGAGTTACCTTTCTTCTACCCAAAAATAGTGACACAAATATTCCGAAAAACTATAGACCAATTACATGTCTTCCAACAACATACAAACTGTTAACATCTATTTTAACAAAACAGACATATTTCTTCTTGGAAAGAAATGACATACTACCACTTGAACAAAAAGGGTGCAAACGAGGCTGCTACGGATGTAAAGACCAATTACTTATTAATAGGATGATCCTGGAAAACTGCTTCGGTGAAAAAAAAAAAATCTTAGTATTGCCTGGATAGATTATCGTAAAGCATTCGATAGTGTACCACATTCCTGGATCTTAAAGTCTTTAAGTATGTACAAGGTATCACCCGTTATCATCAATTTCATCAAACAATGTATGTCGATATGGAAAACTACACTTTACCTCAATCATAAAAATGGAACCTATAAGTCTGGCGAAATAAACATCAATAGAGGAATATTTCAAGGTGACTCTTTGTCTCCTTTATTATTTTGCATATCACTTATAGCATTAACAGCCAACTTAACAAGACAGAATGCGGTTACAAAAATAGCTCAAAAAAAAAAATAAACCATCTATTTTACATGGATGACTTAAAATTGTATGCTAGGAATGACAATGAGCTGGAAGGTCTTCTGCAAACTGTAAAATGCTTCAGTGAAGACATCGGAATGAAATTCAATTTGGATAAATGTGCTAAAGCTACAGTTTTACGAGGATCGCTACAACAAACTTCCTCTATTAGTTTAGACCCTGCTGTAACAATAAAAAGATTTAGAACAAGGAGAAGCTTATAAGTACCTAGGTGTAAATGAGAGTGAAGGAATTCACCATAAGAAAAATGAAAGAAATAGTGCGTAAAGAGTACTATAGAAGGGTACGACTGGTATTAAAAACTGAATTGAATTCTCAGAACAGAATTATGGCCATTAATAACCTAGCCATCCCAGTGGTCCAATATAGTTTCAACATCTTGAACTGGACTCTAAATGACATCAGACAAATGGATTTCTAAAACAAGAAAGCTTCTTTTCTACAAGTATAAGATGCATCATCCAAAGGCTGATGTAGACCGTCTATACATACCCCGTAAAGAAGGTGGAAGAGGTCTTATTCAGCTAGAATTGTCATGCACAAGACAACAACTATTGGCTTACTAACTTACATGGAAACAACAAATGACTGGATGATAAAATTAGTGAAACAACATGAAAACAAAAAAGAAAAATATTCAATAATAAAAGAAGGCAGTAAATACAAACAACATTTACATTTAGTAGATTCTGTAGTAAATCAAAACAGAAGCCAAGAACCAACTATTGCAGCAAAAAGATATGAAAAAAAGCCAAGGATAAAGCCCTTGAACAGATGAAACAACGCTGGCAAGACAAACCTCTGCATGGCCAATATCCAGAACGTGCAAATAAAACCCAATGTTGATAAAGTTAATACTCATCGATGGTTACGAGCATCTGGATTAAAGTCTGAAACTGAAGGCTTTATTCTTGCAGCGCAAGACCAGAGTCTTTTCACTAGGAATTTTCAGGCAAATATCATACATAATAATGTGGATCCAAATGCAGGTTCTGACAAATACCAAGAAACAATAGACCATCTAATCTCAGGATGTTCTATACTTGCCCCAAATGAATATAAAAATCGTCACGATAGAGTGGGGCAATACTTACACTGGACAATATGCAAACACTTTGGAAAAATGTGTAAGCAAACACTGGTATGAACATCGGCCAGCGCCGGTTACAGAAATAGAAGATGTCACCATTCTATGGGATTATACCATCCACAAAGACAGAAAAATTGAAGCAAATAGGCCGGACATTATTGTCAAAAACCAGAAAGAAAAACTTGCCTACTAATTGATATGGTTTGTCCAGCGGATTGTAACATAGCAACCAAGGAATTTGAAAAACTATCAAAATACAAAAGACCTGGAAATTGAAATAGAAAAATGTGAAATTGAAAACAAGAATAATACCAGTGGTAATAGGTGCACTTGGAATTATAAAAATGGAACAAAACAACACATTGAAAGAATCCCTGAAACCCCAGCTTAAGAGACATACAGAAAATTGTCTTTATATACAGTACACACACTAAGGAGAACTTTGTCTATGTAACGCTAGCAACTTCATCGGAGATAAAAAAAAAAAAAATTAACATGAAATGTGGCCATAACAACACACCACGACCTGCCTTAGGTCTTTCCGCAGACTTGGTAGGTAGTGTGTCCATAGCAGAAATCGAATGATGATGATGATGACAATAATAATAATAATAATAATAATGAAAATAAGAATTAGAATAATAAGAATAAGAACAAGAATTAGAATAAAAATAAGAATAATTATAAGAACAATAAGAAGAATAAAAACAATAATAATAAGGATAATAAGAATAAAATCGAGAATAATAAAAATAACGAGGAGAATAATAATAATAATAATAATAATAATAATAAGAAGAAGAAGAAGAAGAAGAAGAAGAAGAAGAAAATAATATTTAGGCTGTACAAAAAAAAAAAAGTAAAAAAATTACTAAACCCAAACTATATACCCCCTATGTAAAATAAAAAAAATAATCCTTGATAATGGCTAAAAGTGTAGCCGAAAGTACTCGAACATATACAACATATCGGTCGTTCTTAATGAAACTTTTATAAAACAGGGATTGCTGCCGAAATCCACACACATGCAAACACACACACACATATATATATATATATATATATATATATATATATATATATATATATATACAAGTATAAGTGCGTAGTCTTAAATACAATCACATGTGTTATCTATATTTTTTATATATTTTAAAAAAAAAGATGCTGACACTCGATTTGTTCCTGGAATTTTGTTACAATCAGAAATGTTTCATACGAAAATTCACAAACACTTAAACAAAAGTCGAATGGAGAATAAATGTTAAAATAAAATAAAAATGTAAAGTAAAAAAATGAACATACGAAAAAAGATGTAGAATTAGTAAAAACAGATTAGAGTACTTGTTTAAATTTAAGAAAATTAGCCAATTAATGTCTTAAGCATTTTACCCAAGCAAGGCAATAAAGCCACTAAAATGTAAGAGGTTACTGAGTGTGAGAGGACATGAGAAAAAAAAAAACACTATTAAAGAAAGAGAACAATAAAAGAATACAAACTTGGATGACAGTAGGTAACGATTGACATTGCATTTAAATTTTTAAAGATCAAAGTTGACTGGAAAGCACGAAGCCGGAAGAGTGTTCCACATGCGTGAAGCCCTAGCGAAGAAACTGTTAGCGTAGATCTTACAGTTACAGCTAACCATTTTAGGTGTAAAATTATGAGAACTTTCCGTTAATCTAGCACTGCATTTAAATTCATAAAATCTAGGTACGATAGAGGGAAGCTCCTCCGAAAAATTACTATAAAAGTATATATAGAAAAAGCAGAGGTAAGCAACAATTACGACTGTGGGAAAGTAAATGAAGACGAGATGACAGGTTAGGGCCAATAACATTGCAGATTCTACTTTGAATTGAATAAAAAATCTCTAAATACATAGCAGAAGCATCAGACCCGCTGTGGCAGAAATAATCAAAGCATGACGGAATGGTAGATTTATAAATATCTAAGATCGATTCTGACGAGAAAAAAAAAAACGTTTAGCACAATACAATGACCCAGAATTTGTAGCTGCACATCTAGAAATTGACTTAATATAATCTTTCCACTTCGTGTCAGCTGAAAACATTAGCGCAATGAGCCACTCCTTTGGAGGTGAGCATCAGATGGAAACCAAAATGTTTTCTCTCAGACGATTAAAAGAACACAGTTTCGTTTTGATCACGTTGAATT